GGAAGAGCTACCTAGTCACTGTCTTACAGGTAGCCACAGAAAGTCACACTGTGGTATGGCACCCTGAGCTTCCAGTGGTGTGCTGCTAGTGCCTCTCCTCCTGCAGTGTGTGATAGTGTGATGCACACATGGGAAGTCCCTGCAGTCCTTATAGTTATTTTACAGCCTTGAAGATACCGTCTTTCCTGCTACCCTAGGATTTTCAGAAACATCTCTTTCAGTTTATCCATTCTCTTCCTTTTTTTTTCTGGCTTCCGATTTCTTGTAGTCCTTACTAGCTTAGAACCATTTCTGCTGGTACTTGTGGGTGACAAGTATTGCCAGTATACCTTGGTACAGCATGCGTGAAGCTCCAGCTGGAGTTCCCTGACAATCTCAAAGGGAGAATATACCTCTGAAGCCACAGAGTGACTGTCAGGTAGACCAATCCTAAAACCTAAATCCTAAAACCTAAAAAATATTAGGAACAACACATTTGCATGGGTTTCTTGCATCAGCAGGTCTCATGAATTTACCAAAATCCACCTTCATAATATTTTACATGTTATTTCTGTAAGCTGTTTCAAACTTATTTGTTGTAATTTAAAAACTTTCAGCCTAAATTAATGCATTCATTCCACTGGCGACATGGGCATTTAGCTTAAATATTATTTTTCACTAGTGATTTTGTTCTGTTGATTCATACCCTCTCTTAGTCTCTGCTCTACTTAAAAAACAAGCTGAGCTTTTTTGTTCTCTTCTCAGAGGACAGACTTTCCCTAGATTATCGTACCTTCTCCAGCAAATGGGTGGAGGAGAGGGATCAAAACATTTTGAGGGAAAATAGGCCTCAAAGTTCCAGTAGGGCTTTTCAAAACCTGTTTTACATCCTGTGTTTGTTTTGCAGGGAGTTTCCACAATGGAGAAGAGGGAAGGTGATAATCATGCCATTGATCAGAATGCAGGTCAGAGCATCATGCCAAGAAGAAATAGAGGAAACCCTAGCAACTTGGTAATGTTTCTGTAAAAAAGCAGCTCATATGCCACACAGAATATTGCAATCTTTCATTCAATTTTGTCCAGAAACAGTGTTCCCATCACACTGGCATATCACCAATACTTCTGAAGTCTTGTCACAATATTGACATGAAGAGATAAAAAGATAAAGAGCATCTCATTCAATTTTAATCCCAGTCCATGTTAAAAAATACACAAAGTTTGGGCCAGCTAAAAACTACATGAGGTTAGTTGCTAGTTGTATTTTACTGGATGAGCAAAGCTCTGTAGAAATAATTTGGGATTTTTGTACAGGAATATAAAGTTTATCTTTGGAGGAGTCTTCATAATTGCCACATTGCATTCAGTAAGTTTTCCACATCACACAAAAAAGTCCAGAAAAAAAATCCACTCCAACAGCATTTGCCTCTGCAACTGCTGAGGCACAGCATTAGTTCAAGCTACAACTTTCTATTCTAAAGTGAACTGTCTCACAGGCTGTGAAATACTGAATTAGGCTTTGCAAACTATCTCTTCAAGAAACAGGTATCTCTAGGTGAAACTTGTTTCAGATACGAATCTCAGTTTGTGTCATTTATACCAACTTCCGATTCCGCAATGCATAGACTACACTCCACTTTTCTTCACAGACTAGAGAATAAAAGTTACTGAGGCTACACCTTCACTGTTACAAAGATACGCCTTTATCATCAGATAAACATGTAGTAGCTATTCCGCTAAAAAATCCTAATGAAGACCATGCCCTTTAATTGTGCTGTGAGGCACTGTAGGCAAGTCAGTCAGACATGTGGTGGGAAACAGGCTACCTTGTCTCTAATTAGGATTTTACAGCAAGATAGCAGCATACATTTTTTATCTTTCTGTTAAAACAAAACACCTACGTATCATTGAAGATGAACACAAGACTTGCACCTACTTACCCTTCCATTATTTACAAGTACTACCTTGTTTGAACTGACCCCTTAATCAGCTTCAATGTAATATTTGATTCTTAAGAATAAAGCCAGATAATATTGCTGAGATAGGAAGATCTCCTGTATCCTAGCAGAACGCTAATTTACAACTTTCAAACTACTAATATTTGCTTTCCTCAAAATGGACAGTGCCATTTCACCTTGTGGAGGTCTGGACATCTGCCACATTAGCCATTCTAAAGCTGAACCATTGCAGCATTAGTTCAGTTTTACTTTATATTTCATGAGAATATTAAAGGACTTACATGTTTATTACCTAATGTTATCAGTTCTTAGTTCTCCGCCCCTGGTCAGCTGTCTGCTGCATCAAGTGCAATGTCCTGCTGTTGATACACGTATTTTCATTTTGTATGTATACTGATCATGTACCTCTTCCATGAACTATAACTATAGGACAATCTTTAAATACATTATCTCAGTGTAAAACAGTTTATAATATTACACTAAAATTTTGTACTAGCTTAGCTCCTTCCAAAGTCTGTGATAATTCTGCCAAGATCTTCTGTGAGACTAGAATCAAGCCATGCCTACTTGTCAGCAGAAAATTCAGCTTTTTAAACTGAAGTGACTCAGTTTCACAAGGTTTCATAAAAGTTAAGAGGATGCTATTACATTTGTGAAGGAGAGGAAGAAGACCACAGGACTCGATGCTGGAGTTGACAAATGTGCAGCTGGTCTAATACGCTGGATCCCAAACATTTCTACTTACATCCTTATTCCCCCAATTAAATGTCACTAAAATAGCAGGGACTGAATGAAGTATTTTATTGTCTTGACTCTGGATTCTGTTATTGTGCATATTATTTGGGCTACACCATTAAGTCTGTAGCTGAAATTTGACATTTGAAATCTGTAGCTCATATCATGAGAAGCTGTAATGATGCTTCACGTAATGTAATCCATCTCCCCTTGCAGTGTAGTTAACTTCCTGGAATTAAAATCTATTTTGAAATCACCATTGATAATGAATGAAGAATGAGAAATCTATGCTAAAAGTGCCTCGCTCAACTACTGACTATGTTGTTTGAAACACGTTTTCAAGCTACCTTGTCTTTAATAGTGTGTATGTTTTGTACATTGTTTCAGTGCAGTACGGTGTAAAAGCCACGCTGGCAAATACTGTCATTACGGAAGTTTTTAATCTTCTCTTGACCTCACTTGGTATTTCCTTTCTGTCCTTTCCAGAATGTGGATATGCAAGTCACCAATCCACCAGAAGCAGCTGCACTTTTTAATTTACATCAAGCACACCATTTTGGTGAGTTTGAACACTCTTCAGAACAACACTACAATCAGGATCTGTTCCCCAAGTGGCACTTGCCAATGAAGATAGCATCTGTGATCTCATTATTAACATTTATTTACACTTCTCTGAGAGATGTCATATATCCTTTTATAACCAGAAAGGAAAATGTTTTCTATAAAATTCCAATCCTTGTCATAAACAAAGTTTTACCAGTGGTTTCAATTACCCTTTTAGCACTAGTATATTTACCAGGAATATTAGCTGCTGGTTTCCAGCTGTACTTTGGCACCAAGTATAAAAGGTTTCCCCAGTGGCTGGATAGATGGATGTTATCAAGAAAGCAATTTGGACTTCTCAGTTTCTTCTTCGCTACAATGCACGCCTGCTATAGCCTATGCTATCCAATGAGAAGATCATACAGATACAAGCTGCTGAACTGGGCATTCCAGCAGGTATGATGGGCATGCAAACACCAACCTTCTGTATTCAGAAAATCCTTGGTTTGGTCATTCAAGCAAATCTGGATGGGGGGAAAGCCATTTTCATTGCCTTTGTTTGATTTTGAAGCAGATCCCCACAGAGCACTGTTAAGGGATGGAGCAGGACCTAGTTGTTAAAGCATGTAATAGAGAGTCAAGAGTCAGTGTGTCTTAAATAAGTCATCTTCTTCATTTGGGACTTTTTATCTCTGTAAAATGCACGTAATTATACCTGCCTCACAGGAACATTTAAGTCTTTGGCACACTATTAGTTTAGTGTCTCAGCACCAGTGGAATCTAACTGTCTACAAAAACTGAGCACACAACAGTTTTAGACATCTTTGTAAAGTGAATTAGCCAGCAATGAAGGAAGGCTGAGCTAAATCACAATAATCTGTGTTTGCCACAAACTAAATTTGTGAACACTGATGGCTCCACAATTGGACTGATGCACACTAACTTGTTAAAAGATAGAATTTCAATCATGCTTCTGAGTCATAGGCAATAATTGGCTTGCAAAGCTCTCTAAGATCCTCTGTGACTACAGAGTTCCTAGTACTTGCATATCACCTTGAGTGCCATGTGTATTGCAGTAGAAGGAAGATTCCAATATAAGGTATAGAATGCAAATGTACATTTTTATTACCCTCAAAGTCTAATCTAGAGTTTTATTAAAAGCACAATATGATGTTAGCAGCTTCTAAGAATTCTGTAAACAGTCAAACTACCTATTGAAAACTCTGAAATCAGCCTTACCAGTAATCTGACTTGAATGGATTACCAGAAATTTCCTTGAGATTCCAGTCCTCAAGATGAAGAAATGATCATATTTGGGGTATACTACGCCATGGTGATCACTAGTGATCAGCATGTGATCAGCATCAAAGGGATGTTGCAAGTAGTCGTAAATAGGAGAAGCTTTGACATCAGTTTATGAAAATCACAACCTTTTCATCCATACCAACCATTGTATTGAGTGCAGCTGAATGTACCAAGTTGTTGTTTTTAAAAAAATAGAGCTGAATTAGCTCCCTAAAATAGTGCTGTTAATATATTTCCTGTTGTTATAATCTCCCAGATATGGTTTTAGCCATAGATGGATTTTTTTTTGTCAAAGAATAAGATTTCTCCTGCTGTGAAGGCAGGCTAACAGGTCTCAGAACCAATCTCTCCTGGGCCAAGACACTGATGAAGTCTAAATTCTTCTCACTTAAAGCCCACCTTTGCTCTGCAGATACTAGTGGAGATTTTGTCATCAGAAGTAAATAGCAGTTACATTCAGAGACATTAAAACAAACAAAAATACTGTGTTTCTTGGCTTATTTCCTGAATATTATGGTGAAAACAGCTGTATTTCACACAAACAGCTAAGTGTGCCAGTCTGTCATTTTAAATATGGTGTTCTTTTGGCAGGTCAAACAAAAAAAAGAAAATGCCTGGATTGAACACGATGTTTGGAGAATGGAGATTTATGTGTCTCTAGGAATTCTGGGACTTGCTTTGCTGGCCTTGCTGGCAATAACATCAATCCCATCTGTCAGTCACTCTTTGACCTGGAGAGAGTTCCACTACATTCAGGTACGCATAAATGTCATTAGTGCATGTCATTAGTCCTCATTTACAGGACTGTACGTTATCAGCTAAGACCATTAGAAGTTGGAAATATCCAACACAGAGGAGTTAGTGAAACCAATCTAAAAGTTTGTTCTGTACTCTGTTAATTGCTTTGCAAAAAATGTTCATTTAATTTGTTATTTTGTCAGGAGAAAAGGCTGTCAGGTTCAGGGTATAAAGTGAAAGACAATTCCAAACCACTTTTTTGCTCCTCTGGCTTCATGACCAGCAGCAGTTGTCCCTTCAGGACCTATTCTTAGGTCAAAGACCTCTGGTGCTGAAGAGATTTTAGTCATCTTTGCTGAATTGTTTTGGCAATTCTTTACTGCCTGAGCAGTACCAGGTGGCTGGAAGGACCGGGAGAAGACTTCTGCCCAATAATACATGCAAAGGTTTTCCACCTGCAGCATTATTAGCTTCATAACCCCCTCCAAAAAGGTGTATTCTGAAAAGCAGACATCTTAGAACAGATGCATAATCAAATCCAGCCAGTCCTGAGTTTGCTACAGATGTGCTTGTTTCGTTCACCTAAGTATCTGGTTTGCTCTTAGTTCTCCTGTACCATACGCAGTAATAATCAGGGGTGGTTCTGCTGACATCAATATGATCACACTAGAGTTAAGCAAGTGTTGAATTAGGTCCCCGAACACCAAAATCTGAAAACACAATAACCTACTAAGTACCTGGCATTTGAAAATTTAATCTGAATTTGAAAAGTAGATCTGAAATGTGTATCTTCCTACAATTAGTGCATCATTTGTAAGAAAAGTTTTTGGCTCTGCAGAGAATAAATATATATGGACAGGTCTAGGAGGGAGTCTCCGAGTGTATGACTGCTTTCAGTATTAAATTAGTATGGTGAAGAAACCCAGAAGAGTAATACTACTATATTGGATTTGTTTTATAAACAAATAACCTTTATACTCGAAAATCAGATTCTGTAGATTTAGCAGTTGGAAAGGTAGTGTTTGACTTTACTGATGAGTAATTCCATTTTTCCAACAATATCAAGATTGTCATGCAACAAGAAACTCAAAATTACTAGTAACTCTAGCATAAAATTTCCTTTACTCCTGAATTTTGTAGACATCCTAAGCCAAATTTACCACTGTAAGTGGAATGAAAGACTTCAGTTTCCTGTAGTTGTGCAATTGCTTTTGTCATAGTACTAGACTTACTAGAGTTTCTGATTTTAATTGACCTTAAAATTTTTCTTTGCAAATAACTGATTAATCCATTTCTAAATCTGCTTTTGAAATCATAGTAATTTATCATAGAAATAAAGTAATTTAGGATACAGATGACATCTATAAATTGAGATATTAAGAACTGACCCTTTTTCAGGAAGAGCCTGTAGTTTGTAATCTCTTCTGTATATTAGATAAGTATCATAGCAATACTTGAAAAATGTGCCTCATCTGTTTTCTCTTATGGTGGCATAGAGGGGTATGGTTGGATTCTTGAATTATAGTTCTTAAATTTTATTCAAAGCCAATGGTCTCTTTTCTTTGACTTAAGTGTGTTGGTTGAGGCCCTTCCCAATTTCCATATTTGCTTAACAGAGTACTCTTTTTGCCAAGTTGGAAAAAATAAATAGCTTACTATTTTCTTTCTCTTTTCAGAGCAAGATGGGATATTTAGCTCTGCTGCTATGCACTGTTCATGCACTGGTGTTTGCTTGGAATAAGTGGGTTGATGTTAACCAATTCATCTGGTATACACCACCTTCATTTATGGTAGCAGTTTTTCTTCCTATTGTAGTTCTGCTTTGTAAATGCATACTGCTCCTCCCATGTTTTAGGAGGAGGATAAAAAAGATCAGATGTGGTTGGGAAGCTAACACACAAACCAATCAAACCAGCATGACTTCCAGACTGTAGATCAAATATGGACATTTCCTGTCTATGTATGTAACCATGCCATGAAATATGCACTCGCAAGCTCTGTTTTCGTATTTTCCATAGATGTTTCTTCTTCGCTTTTCATTTCGACTTCAGGAGTATGGGATACTTGATGCAATCTGGACCTTTGCTAAAACAGAAGGTGGAAACATTCATTTTACACTTTAATCTATTCAGTGTTCTGGTATATGATCATTTCTTTCTTCTGACTTACTGCTTTTAAAATCCAAGGGCTTTATTGTCTCAATTGTAATTCTTTCATAGGCAAAAGCAATCATAAATCATTGCTCCAGATGACCACAGAAAGTAAATAAATGATTACACCACAGAATCCAGGAATACTTTGTGCTTCCCACAGCCACGTTTATTCCTTTGTTAAATCTCAGTATTATAATGGGACAACAACTAGAGTATTTATCATCCCATTCCCCCTTATCGCCTGCATCCTATGTTTCACTCTGCAGAATGGTGACCTTGGCACATGAGCCAGAAACTGTGTATTCCCACCAGGTCTTGAACTTCAGACAATTCGGCAAGCAGAATTGCAGGGAACTTTACAAGGTAAATCTCTCCTGAGGCTTGGGCACAGTCTAAAAAAAGAGGTTTTAGACTCAGATCTCCATCTTATACAGGACTAGGTGTGTCTCTGTTTACTTAACATGGTAAAACATTTCCCATTTTTTATTCCACGAACACATTCTTTTGTTTCTGATGCTGGAAATTTTCCATGCTTTTGACCTAAGCCTGCAGCCCTTGACATGTGCTAAACTTTATTCGCACAAATTATTCCAGTGGGATAACTCACATCAGGTAAATGTGTTTTACTGTTTACTCTAGGGCCAGCACAATTGTGTGACTGGAAGAAAAACATTAAAAATAGACATTTGAATCTTGACATTGATTTGGTGAGGTTTTTATGTAAAATGGCTTCTGCATGCCTTTGCTTTTACAAAAATTTTCATATAAGCTAATTAAACCTCACTTTCCTTATGTTGCATAGGTCTGGCTGAATGTTTTAAATGAATAATTCATTTGTTAGTATCTATTTTTAAATATGTTATGCAGTAGTTAATATTTTCACCCAGCATCAGGAACATTTCTGCCAGTCTCCCTGCATGAGTTGACAAGGACATGGACTGATGCCACCTATTGCTGGGATCATCTGAATGAGAATTGTAATTGGTAATGGCTCTGGTATTAAAACAAACAGGAAAACAATGTATGCATAAAAAAATACGCAATACATGGTGCTAATGATCATAGAATCGTAGAATCATTAAGGTTGGAAAAGACCTCTAAGATCATCAAGTCCAACCATCGACCCAACACCACCATGTCCACTAAACCATGTCCCTAAGCGCCTCGTCTACCCGTCTTTTAAATACTTCCAGGGATGGTGACTCAACCACTTCCCTGGGCAGCCTGTTCCAATGTTTAACCACTCTTTCAGTAAAGAAATTTTTCTTCATGTCCAATCTAAACCTCCCCTGGCGCAACTTGAGGCCATTTCCTCTCGTCCTATCGCCAGTTACTTGGGAGAAGAGACCAACACCCACCTCGCTACAGCCTCCTTTCAGGTAGTTGTAGAGAGCGATGAGGTCTCCCCTCAGCCTCCTTTTCTCCAGGCTAAACAACCCCAGTTCCCTCAGCTGCTCCTCATAAGACTTGTTCTCCAGACCCCTCACCAGCCTTGTTGCCCTTCTCTGGACATGCTCCAGCACCTCGACGTCCTTCTTGTAGTGAGGGGCCCAAAACTGAACACAGTATTTGAAGTGCGGCCTCACCAGTGCTGAGTACAGGGGCACGATCACTTCCCTACTCCTGCTGGCCACACTATTTCTGATACAGGCCAGGATGATTCTGCAGCTAATGATTCTGTTGTACATTTGTGGACTTGGTACACTGAGCATAAATAACAAACAAATTAAATAGCTACAGGGATACTACTTTTTGTATTTTCCTGGTTGTAACTCCATCCAATTACTGCAACTTAAAATGCCTTGTTATTTGCACTTAATGTAGTAGTGTGAAAGTAACTGGGGACATGGTGGCCTGTATAATATAGACTGAAGAGAAATGAGTGGCATTGTGTATCAAATCAGTAATGCATGACAGAGGCAAACACTCTAAAACACAGAAAACTAGTCTGCAATGTGAATCTAAGAAATTTCTAACAGAACAGGAAAAGTGTGGTTGTCAATGCATTAGCATTTACGTTTCTATAAATGAAATAGGTAAAATCTTTTAGAAGTCATATTAGGGATAAAGAATAATATTTGCCAAAGGCTTATTCAGAATATTACCTGCACTTTGTTGTCAGAAGTCATAAAAAAATTAATAAAATCATTTTTCTAGTGGAACAGGTTGGGGCAAGTGCAATGATAAAGAAATCCCTTTGTCTTCTGTATTGTCCACTAGCTACTCATAAAATATTCTATAAGCAGCTGGGAGAAGTCGCACAACCGCTAGCCCTTGTTCTCATGTGGGACTTCAACTTACCAGATGTCTGCTGGAAATACAATACAGCAGAGAGGAAACAGTCTAGGAGGTTCCTGGAGTGTGTGGAAGACAACTTCCTGACACAGCTGGTGAGTGAGCCAACTAGGGAAGGTGCCCCGCTGGACCTGCTGTTTGCGAACAGAGAAGGACTTGTGGGTGATGTGGTGGTTGGAGGCCATCTTGGGCATAGCGATCACGAAATTATGATAGAGTTTTTGATTCTTGGAGAAGTAAGGAGGAGGGCCAGCAGAACTGGTACCTTAGGCTTCTGGAGGGCAGACTTTGGCCTGTTCAGGAGACTGGTTGACAGAGTCCCTTGGGAGGCAGTCCTGAAGGGCAAAGGAGTCCAGGAAGGCTGGACATTCTTCAAGAAGGAAATCTTAAAGGCGCAGGAGCAGGCCGTCCCCATGTGCCGAAAGATGAGCCAGCGGGGAAGAAGACCAGCCTGGCTGAACAGAGAGCTTTGGCTGGAACTCAGGAGAAAAAGGAGAGTTTATGACCTTTGGAAGAAGGGGCAGGCAACTCAGGAGGACTACAAGGATGTCGTGAGGTTATGCAGGGAGAAAATTAGAAGGGCCAAAACCCATCTAGAACTTAATCTGGCTACTGCCATAAAAGACAATTAAAAATGTTTCTATAAATACATTAGCAACAA